ACTGGTAGCCATGTTGCTTATCTCGAGTTGTGATAACAATAACTGCAGCCAGTTGATCCCGGGGGCCGAGTTTGCTAGCTCTGATCAGACCGCAACGCAGCCGCAGCGCAGCTGACGTTAACGCTGGTTATAAGCAAAAGCTTTTGTAGCGCTACTTTGGGATCTGGGTATTCCTTGGGATTTCATTACATAATCTTACTATTTCCATCGTATTCTGAGACCGTAAATTCCCTTGTACATATTCACGCCTTGTTAAGTGCGTGAGTAGTCTTAACTAAGAGTCTGGCAGCAATTTCATTTCGGGGGCAGCGCTGAACATCTGAGAGGCAATTCAATCCGTGGAAATTCCTTTTAGAACTATAGATTATCACCATCTTCTGACTTGTCGTTTGAACGGCCCCACGATCTGATTTGTTTGGTCTCTTAAAAGTATTAGACGTCTACAGGGCAGTCTGGATGGAAGCGCAGCCTCTCCAACCCAGCAATACGAAACCGCTGGATGTTGGAAATGGTCAAGAAGCCGAAGAAGAAGAGTTGAAACTCAGTGCGGCTACAGAGATGGCAATTAAAGGTATTTATGCTTTTATGCTACCAGGTTTAGCTGTTTAGTTGATTCGGGCAGGGAATTCTACTAATTTTGAAATGCATGAGTAGTTTTAGCGACTGGAAGAAGCCTTATGCAGTGCTTGGTTTATTCTTCAGGATTCTTTCGTGATGAAAGTAGTATGTTATAGAAATGTGCCACACCGAATTTTGCCGCCCTGACCAAGAGCTGACTGCGCAGATCAATGAACTTTTCCCAACAGAGCAATCATTGGCTCAGCTAGATACAGTAATAGGTAAGATAAACCTCATCGTTCTGATCTGAAGTGGAAGTTTAGATCCGTTTTGCAGCTGCTGTGGAGGCTGAAATCCATGATCTCGACGTAGAACTGGCAGCCTTGGTAGAATCACATGACGAGGTTGGAGCACAGGGCGAGGCTGCTTTGCAAGAGGTAATAGTTTTTCCTGTTCCCCTCCATTGCCTGAGTAATCTTCCATTCGATGCTTGTTTTTTATGCTTAAATTGGATATAGATCCGTTTCCATTTACATTTTATATTCAAGCTTGATTTCTCAGCTTACAATTACTTCTTTGCAGGCACAGAAAGCAATGTCAGAGTTGGAACGTCGAATCGACAGTATACGAGGGAAAACTAGATCATCTGATGAGGTAGAATCAGGAAGAAAGAACTTCAAGTTTCTAATTTTACGGCTCAATGGTTTATCCCTTACTTTTTTGCAATTTCTTTTCTTTTTTTTCTTGACAGTTACCTTCGAAACGCCACACCGCTTATGATCTTGATCGGAAACTGGAGTCGCGTTTTCTTTTTTTTGTCTTTCCCTTTTTCGGTTCGTCAATGCTCCTTTTCTTTTGCCTTTTCACTTCATATACAGTGCTTTCCTTTAATTTTCTCATCGCAATTACTCTAAACCCTTTGAACCTTCTACTATTCCAATCACTTCCAATCAGAGCAAGTTATGTTCGCAGTACATGTCGTGAATTTTAGATTGTTCGAGAAATGACGAGAGATATCAAGCAACTGGACATTGCAAAACGAAATCTGACGTCGTCTATCACTACTTTACATCATCTGCATATCTTGCTTACGGGTGTTGATTCATTAGGTACCGGATCTCTTTTCTTACCACTGAAACTAAATGTGTTAAATTTGCTTGTTCTTGGGAAAAGGATGTGGAAAGTCCTTGTGTATTTATATGTTACGTATTTTTAATGTGGGAAAGTATGAAACATGGAAGTCCTTCCAGAACTGAAGCTTAGTTCCTGCCATTATTTGGACCGTTCTTTACAAATCTAGCAGCAAATTTTCGAGACTATTTGCAATACAATTCTGTCTCGGGGCACTGTTTCCGGTGGTCACTACTTGTGTGTGATGCTTTGCAGAATCTCAAATTACAGGTCATAATTTCCACGAGCGTAGCCCTGTATTTAGCTGAGAGTAGACTGCTCATTTTTCTCAATCCCATGTCAGCGCGTTTTTTTTCTTGACCTCTTCACATGAATGAGCCTCAGCCTTTTTTTGCGCCTGTATGAGGACATTGTAGTAGAATTATTCGGCAGTAGGATATAAAATCTAAGACATATACTACCTTCTAGTACCTCAATGCGGCGTCATTGTGGCAACTGATTGCCTCTGCTGAACAGGGATATTTGTAGTGATACGGTGAACTTGTCTCCCTTGCTGGAACTGGTTGAGCCGGAGCATGAAGTCAAACAAGGTAGTGTGCAGTCAGGAAGACTGTTTCTTTGGGAATTCATAGAACTCCTCTATATCCCTACAGTTCTAACAGGGTGCCCATTTACTTTAGATTGACCACTATTATATGGTTCTACTTCATTTGTATTTTCTTCTGAGCTATGATCATAGTTTTTCAGCTGTTTGGGTGGATCAACGTGACTACGCCTCTATTGCAAGGCAACTACCAGCCATACTCAATGTTTTGCAACTGTTTGATGATTTTCAAGAAGTCGAGCAGATGGCAAAAATAACCAACAGGCTCAATAAGTTGAAACAGGCTCTCACGGTTCAGCTAGCTGGTGACATGAAGGCTGTTTTCCAGGTAACTTAATTTTTCTTCACTTCGCATTTTCCACTGTTATTTTACTTCTTTCCTAGTAATGTTGAGTTTTGTTAGGCTGGGCAGTTGAGTGAACGAGTAACGGATATGTGTCGAGTGGCAGCTGCCTTGGAGGGAAGTGTGAAGTCAAATTTCTGTCGTTGGTTTATTGATCAGCAATTGTCTGAGTACACTGTGCTATATGCAGAGAATGAAGAGGGAGCGTGGCTCGATAAAATTGAAGAAAGGTATGTTTTTATGGTTTTTTCTTTTCCCCTCAGTTTCCATTGTATTTGGCCTGTGGCATAAAATAACCCACTCAGGTATAAATGGTATGTACGCAAATTGACGGATTTTGAAAGAACGGGTCTCGCCAAAGTCTTCCCACCTGATTGGGATATGGGGCGATTAATGACAAAGGAATTCTGCAATGTAACAAGGTTAGTACTCTTCACGAGGAAGTTGTTGCTAGTTCATGCACACCTAAACCTGCTACTCAATTTTTTCTTTTTATTCTTGTTACTTCTCCATTATTCTTCAATTTCTTTTTTTTTT